TATAAGTTGCATCAACGATTTAACAGACTTTAATTGCAGTGTTCTTAATCTTTATAAGTTAGTAGTACTGTTCGGGTTTACAGTGTGGGGGCGTGTTAGAACGAGCCGTTTTAGGTAGGCGTGGTTGACTCTTAACTTATAAAGAATATCTCTTTGGATTTGAGACTTTAGTCTTTGCAACTTTACAGATCTTCTTTATGCACCAAGAGCTTGTAACACTCCAAAGAGAAAGGAAAACTTGAAATCGCATCATATGACCCCTTTAAGTGTGCAGAGGAAGTATATGCAACTTTTGGGAGATAATACTAAAATCTGGAATAAACGCAAGCTTACCACATATAGGTCCCTCCATATTGCCGCCCATTCTCGCAATGTAGTTGTGACCTCATGAACCAGCGGAAGCTCGGTAGGAATGACCGTCTCCTTTTGTCTAAAAGAACAGTGATAGAGTGCAAAACAGAAACAGCACAATAAGTGAAGGAGTTTTCCAAGAATATCGCTTGTGTGGGAAACAATAGGCTGTTTAACTGCATCTCACTGCATCCACGTCAGTAATTCCTGCTTACTACAGGCTCCTGAGGACCCGGAGTCATTCAGATCCCTTCATGCCAATGAAAACTAATTACCAGCATCAGTCATCAAAACAGTGCTTATGAAAACTGAGCTGGGCTTTGCTCATGATTCCAATTACTCTCACACACTCACACCAAACCAGCACTCACTCATGTGTATTATGTTCCTGAACCACGCTTGAAAACCTATTTCAGACTCAAAAATCTCCCATTAAGCCAATGGGCTGCTGGAGCACTAACTTGTTTTAGTAAGACATCTATGGGAAGTATATTGTGAGCTGTGCTCAGGCTGGACCAAAGCTGATATAATCAGACCAATAACAGAAGTAACAGGATCTACAGATGCAGCAAAGGAGTGTAAAGTTTAATGCGGATGTTCCAAAACATAGTGAGCTGCCTACATAGGGAACTGCCGTCAAAAACAGCATCCTAACCATAGTAGAGACTCACAAGGTCAGATAAGGAAATATTGGTGTTTAAAGGTCTGAAAATGGTGAGATGTGACAGAAATGTTGGGGGAACATGGAGTCTGTGGGTCTTTACATGAAGAGGGTACTAAATAGACTGCCAAACTCTTAAAAATAATGAAATATATGAGAAGATTTTTTTCTTAGCAAATGAGCCTTTATTCTTAGCAGATGATCACCAAGAGGTGGTACTTAATCTCCAGAAAATGTCAAGGATAAATTTCATATTATATAAATATTAAATATGCAAAACATGGCAAACCTCATGTAAAATTAACATTAATTGCATTAGTTGCTAAAAATTACAATTTTGTATTTGTTAGCAACATTAGACAAAAACAAAAATAGACAATTAAAAAAAAAAAACTAAATAAAATAAAAATTCACAAATACACAGGCTAATAAAATAAAACAATATTTATAAAGAAAATAATGAATTAGAGAAGAACTTTTTGTCTTAACAAATGATCACTGAGAAGTGGTATGTAACCAGAAAATGTTAAGGATAAATGAAATAGTATATAAATATATTTTTATGATGTTTGCCATTTTTGCATAATATATTATTTTAAAATCATTATTTGCATGAATATGTAATTTGTAGCAACGATAAACAAAACAAAATAAGCAAAAAATAATATAAAATACTAAAATAAAAAAACAAACACAAATCAAATCAAATAAAAAATATAAAAAAGCTAAATAAAAAAATAAAAAAGAATATAAAACTAATATAAAATAAAATAATAAAATTAAATATAAAATTAAAAAAATTAAAAATTAAAAATAAAATAAAATAAAAAATAAAATATCATTCACAAATACACAGGCTAATAAGCTAATGTCACAATACTATAAATCTGCACTGCTCTTAACTAAACTACATCTAGTTCTGATGCTTTTGAGTACAGAATGAAACATAAGCAGATTTATAGTCAACATTTTTCCCACTGAGTTCGTCACAACAAATCCTGGGATTGCCTTCTCTGTGAAGGATTTGCAATCTGGCTGAAACAAGTTGGTTTCATTAAAGAGCTTCAGTAATGTCTGCTAAGATGTTGCTAATGCTTTCTTTCCTATTCAGCAAGTTGCAATTTTTTTAGGAATATGAATGGACATACTGACCCGCTGCCATCAACTGTGGCCTCTTTCAGATGCATGTAGCAAGCCGGAAACACTCCCTGGACATACAGGAACACATCAGAAACACGAAACAAAGGAAAAATTCCAGTTGAGGCCTGTTGAATGATTGTATTAAACAAGAAAGCTGACTTTTCTTTGGAAGCGTTTCATACAGTAACTCACCTTCTTCGATTTTCTCCTCAGCCGATATCCTCGATACCATCCTGAGAAGAGAAAGAAATATCACAGCAGTCAGACGGAAATGCCAACAATTAGATTACAAAGAGACGCCACTGTGTCCCTATAGCACAACTAGAAAACAATATTCTGAGATTATAAAAGACATGTTTCATAAATCTCCTGGAGATACAAAGTGAGGTGGCGGGCATGTCTGCAAGGTATGAACAAATCATTCAACACTGAAGTGTGTGTTTTTGAGATCGGCTGAGACTGGAGAGAGGAAAGCTTTGATGACATATCTGTGTCCTAAAAAGGTGAGAGGTGACATGAGGTGAAATGAATGGGCAACAGGGAGGACTTGACATAAATGGGGTACTAAATAGAGTGTGTAACTCTTAAAAATAATAAAATAAAGAGTAGAAGTATGTTTTTTTCCTTCCTCTGCAAATGATCGCTAAGATGTGGTACTTAACCTTTAGAAAAGGTATAATTAAATATTATATGAGCTGGTTTAAGTTCTATTTATGTTAAATGAGGTTTGCAATTTTTGCAACTCTCAAACCAAAATACAATTTAAAAATATAATGTGTGACTTTGTCATTTTCAAGGACTAAAAGTAAACATCCAAAAATAAAGACAGAAGATCCACAAAACAAAACAAAACAAAACACAAAACAAAGAATGCAGGTGATGCTGCCTAAAACAAGTTATAATGTAGAATATTTTCACTGTCAATTGTTTGTTACAGCTTTCATTGCATATTATGCATAAAACATTGCTCAGTTGTGCAGCTCACTGGGTTTTGGATCATAAATCCGGTAAATAAAATCTGGAAACTGTTTACCAATCACTCACCAATCCTGGACCAAATTTTGGTTTGTAGTTATTGATATGTTGTTTTTTTAAGTAATTTAATGTAATGTAATTTTTTTAATTAAAGAAATGTAAATAAGTCATTATAATATGAGAGCTGATTTAAAATGATTTAAGTGATTTATTGTAAATGAGGTTTGCAATTTTTGCAACTCTCAAACCAAAATAAAGAGGGACAATCCACATTAAATAAAATAAAATAAGATAATTCAAAATAAAATAAAAGTAAAGTAAAATAAAATAAAATAAGTAAAATAATAAAATAAAAAAGATAAAATAAAATGAAGATAAAAAAAATTCTCCTTTTGTCTAAATGAACAGTGATAGAGTGCAAAACAGAAACAGCACAATAAGTGAAGGAGTTTTCCAAGAATATCGCATGTGTGGGAAAAACAGGCTGATTAACTGCATCTCACTGCATTCACGTCAGTAATTCCTGCTTACTACAGGCTCCTGAGGACGCCGAGTCATTCAGATCCCTTCATGCCAATGAAAACTAATTACCAGCATCAGTCATCAAAAGAGCTGTTAAGAAATCTGAGCTGGGCTTTGCTCACGATTCCAATTACTCTCACACACTCACACCAAACTCGTGCATATTATATTCCTGAACCACGCTTGAAAATCCATTTCGAACTACAAAATCTCCCATTAGGCTAGCAATGGGCTGCTGAGGCGCTAACTTAGTAAGACGTCTATGGGAAGAATATTGTTATCTGCGCTCAGGCTGGTTTCAGGGAGCAACACTGATACAATCAGAACAATAACAAAAGTAACAGGATCTTCAGATGCAGCAAATGAGCGTAAAGTTTAATGGGATGTTCCAAAACATAGTAAGCTACCTACATAGGGAACTGCCTTGAAAAACAGCATCCTAACCATAGTAGAGACTCACAAAATCAGATAAGAAAATATCTGTGTTTAAAGGTCTTAAAATGGTGAGAGGTGACAGAAATGGAGGGGGAACGAGGAGTTTATGGGTCTTTACATGAATAGGGCACTAAATAGAGTGTGAAACTCTTAAATTATGAAATATATAAGAGAAGGTTTTTTTTCTTAGCAAATGAGCACTTAAGAGATAGAGATGGCACTTAACCTTCAGAAAATGCCAAGGACAAATTAAATATTATATAAATATTAAATATGCAAAAAATGGAAAACCTCATATAAAATGAATTTCATAACATTTTAAAACCATGGTTTGCATTAATTTGTATTTTTAGCAACATTAAATAAACAAACAAAAATAGACAAAATTATAAACAAAAAAACAAAAACAAAATAGTAAAATAATATTAAAAATAACAATATTTAAAAAAAAAAAATGATATAAGAGATAGATAGATATTTTTTTCTTAACAAATGATCACTGAGAAATGTTACGTAACCTTCAGAAAATGTTGTGGATAAATGAAATATTATATAAATATGAATTTCATATGAGGTTTGCCATTTTTCCATTATATTATTTTAAAATAATTATTTGCATGAATTTATAATTTTTTTTAGCAATGATCAAAAATAGACAAAAAATATAAACAAAACAAATAATAAAAAATAAAACAAAAAATAAAAAACAAAAAATATATAAAATAAAATAAAAAAATAAAATAAAATTCTCAAATACACTTCACTTTGCACATGGGAGACATGACTCACAACTGTTAAGCTAATAAGCTAATGTCACAATACTATAAATCTGCACTGCTCTTAACTAAACTACATCTAGTTCTGATGCTTTTGAGTACAGAATGAAACATAAGCAGATTTATAGTCAACTTTTCTCCCGTTGAGTTCGTCACAACAAATCCTGGGATTGCTTTCCCCACGAAGAATTTGCAATCTGGCCGAAATGAGTTTGTCTGGAAAGAGAGCTAATGTCTGCTAAGATGTTGCTAATGCTTTATTTCACATTCAACTAACTGCAAACTTTCAGGAATCTAAATGAACATACTGACCCATTGCCTTCAACAGTGGCCTCCTTCAGATTTATGTAACAAGCCGGAAACACGCCCTGTACATAGAGGAAACAAAGGAAAATTCAAGTTGAGGCCTGCTGAATGAGTGTATTGAAGAAAGCTGACTGTACTCTGGAAGCGTTTCATACAGTAACTCACCTTCTTCGATTTTCTCCTCAGCCGATATCCTCGATACCATCCTGAGAAGAGAAAGAAATATCACAGCAGTCAGACGGAAATGCCAACAATTAGATTACAAAGAGACGCCACTGTGTCCCTATAGCACAACTAGAAAACAATATTCTGAGATTATAAAAGACATGTTTCATAAATCTCCTGGAGATACAAAGTGAGGTGGCGGGCATGTCTGCAAGGTATGAACAAATCATTCAACACTGAAGTGTGTGTTTTTGAGATCGGCTGAGACTGGAGAGAGGAAAGCTTTGATGACATATCTGTGTCCTAAAAAGGTGAGAGGTGACATGAGGTGAAATGAATGGGCAACAGGGAGGACTTGACATAAATGGGGTACTAAATAGAGTGTGTAACTCTTAAAAATAATAAAATAAAGAGTAGAAGTATGTTTTTTTCCTTCCTCTGCAAATGATCGCTAAGATGTGGTACTTAACCTTTAGAAAAGGTATAATTAAATATTATATGAGCTGGTTTAAGTTCTATTTATGTTAAATGAGGTTTGCAATTTTTGCAACTCTCAAACCAAAATACAATTTAAAAATATAATGTGTGACTTTGTCATTTTCAAGGACTAAAAGTAAACATCCAAAAATAAAGACAGAAGATCCACAAAACAAAACAAAACACAAAACACAAAACAAAGAATGCAGGTGATGCTGCCTAAAACAAGGTATAATGTAGAATATTTTCACTGTCAATTGTTTGTTACAGCTTTCATTGCATATTATGCATAAAACATTGCTCAGTTGTGCAGCTCACTGGGTTTTGGATCATAAATCCGGTAAATAAAATCTGGAAACTGTTTACCAATCACTCACCAATCCTGGACCAAATTTTGGTTTGTAGTTATTGATATGTTGTTTTTTTAAGTAATTTAATGTAATGTAATTTTTTTAATTAAAGAAATGTAAATAAGTCATTATAATATGAGAGCTGATTTAAAATGATTTAAGTGATTTATTGTAAATGAGGTTTGCAATTTTTGCAACTCTCAAACCAAAATAAAGAGGGACAATCCACATTAAATAAAATAAAATAAGATAATTCAAAATAAAATAAAAGTAAAGTAAAATAAAATAAAATAAGTAAAATAATAAAATAAAAAAGATAAAATAAAATGAAGATAAAAAAAATTAAAATTAAAGACAAAAATAAAATAAAAATAAAATACAATACTTTGTAGTTATTGATATTTTTCCCCATAATCTTTCTTAAAATAGCCTTGGTGAAGGTTTAAATGGTTGAGCTTGAATAATCATTGTTTCATATTGATGCTTTGCTGTGTCACATTTAGTTACAACATAAGAATATGTCTGTCTGTGTGTGTGTGTGTGTGTGTGTGTTTCACCTTCATAAGTCTCCAGAATGTGTACAGTGTCTCCGATCTGCAAGGACAGCTCTTCATCACTGCGAGCGTCATAGTTATAGATTGCTGCAGACAGATAACAAAACACTGTAGTGAGACACATGGCATCAATTTCTGCTAGGTGTGTGTGAGAGGGAGAGAGCTATAGATGCTGCAGCAATGCAATAACTAACCACACAGCAAACAATAGCAGCTCAGCAATAAACACCGCCTCCAGTATGACACATACAAGCACCCAAAAGATCATGACAATGCAAAGTGTTTGAATGCTTTATATCACGATTTTCAGTGAATAACTACTTTAATTACTTTAAAATCGCCATCCATATTCATCTTAACACTCATTGCAGCCCTGCAAACACTGGTATTTCCTTCAGGAAGTGTGTGATGCCTTTAGTAAAAAGACGGACCCTCCATGAGTCGAGTTTTACCGGTGTGTTCATCTTCCCGGACGCTGTCGATGGCGTTCACGCAGTGTTTCTCAGCGACCCTGAACGGCCAGATGACCCCGTGACAGAGAGACAGCAGAGGACGAGCAGAGAGCGACAGATAGAGAGCGAGACCTGTGAGGGTTAATTACTGTCTCTATTTGAGTCTCTGTCAGACTCTCACCTTCATTCTCACACACGCTGTTTCTCTCGGCTGACTCAGAGTCTCTCTCAGTGAGAGAGAGAGAGAGAGAGAGAGTAATTACACAACATTCTCACCGTGGGCCTTTTCAAACAGAAACACAAAGCAGCCGTTTCTCTCTGTAATCTCTCTCCCTCCATTGGTTTCTCTGAATCTGAATTGAACACCTCTGCAGCACATCATGACAAAAACATTTCAGTGCATGTCCTGTGTGCCTGCAATCACACGCATACGAACCAATAATTATAAGTTACTAAACTATACAAAAGAGAAAAAAGCTCAGATAAACACAAGCAAATAACTGCCACATGACATTTCAGACCTGAATGTTAATCAACAATTGTTGAGCTCGTAAGAAAAATATTACTACAGAATGTATTCATATTTTGAATTACCCTATATTTTATTAATTGCATTTTAATTTTAATTTAAGCCATTTTCATTTTTGTTTTTGTGATTTTTATTAGATTTTACTTTTTATATACATTTCTGATGTACATTAATTTATTTTTAAGTTTGAGAACTTTTAGTATTTATTGTTGTTGTTGTTGTTTCTAATTTTGTGTCTAATTTTATTATATTTCTAAATATTATTTCTAATGTTATTTTTAATGTCCATTACACTACTACAGTTCAAAAGTTTTGGGGAGAGTAAGGTTATTATTTATTTTATTTATGTATTTATTTTTAAAGAAATTAATGTGTTTGTACAGCAAATATGCATTTCTTTTTCAAATAAACTGTATTCAAATGTTTATTTTTTTCAAATAAATGTTTATTTTAACTTTCTATTCATCAAAGAATCCTGAAATATATATATATATATAAATATATATATACAAAAATATGAAGCAGCACAACGGTTTCCAACATTGATTAGAAATGTTTCTTGAGCAGCAAATCAGCATATTCGATTGATTTCTGAAGGATCATGTGACACTGAAGACTGGAGTAATGATGCTGAAAATTCATCTTTGATCACAGAAATAAATTACATTTTACAATATATTGAAATAGAAAATAGCTGTTTTTAATAGAAATAAAATGTCACAATATTACTGTTTTGTGTATTTTTAATGAAATAAATGCAGCCTTGGCGAGCATAAGAGACTTCTTTTAAATATATTTTTAAAAATCTTGTAAAACACACAGAGGTAATGCTCATCGTGACTTTAGATAATGAATGTACTGAACGCACACATTTCTCTCCATCTAACAGAGCTTTAATTACTGTATACACATTAAACATTTCTACAGACTATATACATAAGGTGGCATGGCATCCCAACTAAGTCAGACAAACTTGAAAAAGCCATGAGCCAGCAGAGCTTCCACTCATCTGCACACGCTCCAGACAACCAGAACCGCAACATCAAATCCCATATGCTGCCGTTCTGATAGCCCCACAAGAAGCCAATCCAATTACACAACAAACAATATATGGAGAGTCAGACACTTCCACGATAGGAGAGCCGAGTAATGCCTAGAGAAAGAAGGAAAAGGAAATGGTTGAGAATATGTCCCTAATGTGCATACGAGTCACAAACCGCCACAGATTCTGCTCTTATCTTAGTAGGAAGAACACTGTACCAGATGACATCGTTCTGAGCTTTCTCTCACACACACTCGAGGAAATGCACACTTAAAGACACAAATGATCATATGAGCTCAGCTCAGACTGCTGTGATTTGGAATTTCAAAGCCTGGCTAACAGGTGGCTAAACACACCACAATAATGCACAACTGCTACAGGTTATTAATTATATAAGAGAACTTTAGAACGTGAAATAGAGAAACTGAGGAAAAAAAGTGAGCCACCTCAGTGTCTGTCTATATAGGCAGCAAACTTCTCAGGCAGAATCTTTATTCTACAGAGATAGAAACCAATCAATCAATCAATAAAATTCAATGAAAAATATTTACAATGATATACAATGATATACAATGATATTTATCTTATTTGTAAAGTAAAAAATTAACATCCTGATGCTACAAATGAAAACCAAGTGAGCAAAATAAAACAAAACAAATAAATATAAATACATTTTAAATTAAAATATCATCAATAAAATAATAATCCTGACACTATTGGGAAGTGAGTAAATAAAATAAAACCATAAATAAAAATAAACAAACAAACAAAACAAAACAAAATAAAAAGTTAATATTTAAAAAAAATCATTATTTATAGTATAAAATGAATATTGCCATCCTGATGCTATGCTACTGAGATAAACAAGCAAGCAAATAAAATAAAACAACAAATAAAAATAAATAAAAATAGCATCCTGATACTATTAAGATAACCAAGATATCAAATAAAAACTATAAATAAAATACATAAATAAAAATCTTTACATCCTGAACCTATTGTGATAACCATGTGGACAAAAGGTTATTATTTATTTTATTTATGTATTTATTTTTAAAGAAATTAATGTGTTTGTACAGCAAATATGCATTTCTTTTTCAAATAAACTGTATTCAAATGTTTATTTTTTTCAAATAAATGTTTATTTTAACTTTCTATTCATCAAAGAATCCTGAAATATATATATATATATAAATATATATATACAAAAATATGAAGCAGCACAACGGTTTCCAACATTGATTAGAAATGTTTCTTGAGCAGCAAATCAGCATATTCGATTGATTTCTGAAGGATCATGTGACACTGAAGACTGGAGTAATGATGCTGAAAATTCATCTTTGATCACAGAAATAAATTACATTTTACAATATATTGAAATAGAAAACAGCTGTTTTTAATAGAAATAAAATGTCACAATATTACTGTTTTGTGTATTTTTAATGAAATAAATGCAGCCTTGGCGAGCATAAGAGACTTCTTTTAAATATATTTTTAAAAATCTTGTAAAACACACAGAGGTAATGCTCATCGTGACTTTAGATAATGAATGTACTGAACGCACACATTTCTCTCCATCTAACAGAGCTTTAATTACTGTATACACATTAAACATTTCTACAGACTATATACATAAGGTGGCATGGCATCCCAACTAAGTCAGACAAACTTGAAAAAGCCATGAGCCAGCAGAGCTTCCACTCATCTGCACACGCTCCAGACAACCAGAACCGCAACATCAAATCCCATATGCTGCCGTTCTGATAGCCCCACAAGAAGCCAATCCAATTACACAACAAACAATATATGGAGAGTCAGACACTTCCACGATAGGAGAGCCGAGTAATGCCTAGAGAAAGAAGGAAAAGGAAATGGTTGAGAATATGTCCCTAATGTGCATACGAGTCACAAACCGCCACAGATTCTGCTCTTATCTTAGTAGGAAGAACACTGTACCAGATGACATCTCTCTGAGTTTTTTCTCACACTGACGCACACACACTCGAGGAAACGCACACATAAACACACAAATGATCATTTGAGCTCAGCTCAGACTGCTGTGATTGCAATCACAAAGCCTAGCTAACAGGTGGCTAAACACACCACAGTAATGCACAACCACTACTAGCGATGTAACGATTCACTCAACTCACGATTCGATTCACGATTTTGATTTCACATTTTTTTTTTTTTACAAAATGAGATTTAAGACAAATTATAAATTAAATGTTTCGTTTTATTTTTGCTTGGGCAAAATACTGTACGTTTCTTTGTGAAATTGAAATATAACACTATTCACAAAATTCAAATTACAAATAATACTACTGATGATAAAGAACGGGTTGAATGTTAACAACTTTCGTTTCCATATAACTATAAACTATGATAAAAGTTCATCAGCATGCATTGAATAATCCCATGTTGTAGCGCAAAAATATATATATATATATATACCAAATCATGCTCGTGCAACCAGCTGAGAAAGTTAGATGCAAAAGAGCGCGACCAGTGGGAAGAATGAGTCTGGAGCCCTGATCCACTACAGGTTATTTATTATATGAGAACTTTACAGCGTGAAATGGAGGAATTGGGGGAAAATTGAGCCACCTCGGTGTCTGTCTACATAGACAGCAACCTTCTCAGGCAGGATCTTTATTTTACAGAGATAGAAACCAATCAATCAATCAATTAATAAAATACAATGAATTATTTGTAAAGCAAAATATTAACATCCTGATGCTACGAATGAAAACCAAGTGAGCAAAAAACTATGAATAAATATTAAATTAAAATATTAATAATAATCCTGACAACATTGAGATAACCAAGTGAGTAAATAAAATAAAAAAATAAAAACAAATTAGTACCCTTAGACTATTGGAATAACAAAGGGCAAATAAAATAAAAAGTAAAAAAATAAAATAAAATAAAAATAAAAAAATAAATAAATGTATAAAAAATTTAAAAACACACAAAATATTATTATACTATAAAATGAATATTAACATCATGATGCTACTGAGATTAACAAGCAAGCAAATGAAATAAAACAACAAATTGAAAA